TAGGGTTTAGAGTTTAAGGGTTAGGGTTTAGGGTTTAGGGTTTAGGGTTTAGGGTTTAGGGTTTAGGGTTTAGGGCTTAGGGTTTAGGATTTAAGGTTTAGGGTTCAGGTCTGGCCATGGATTTCTATCCTAAGGGTAATGTACTACAAGTATTATGACTATGAGAGGCAAGGTACAAGAATGAAGGTACCATATTATGGGCACCATAAACTATAAGAGTACAGGAATATGGGTAGTTAGGGTAGTTCTCAAAATCAGGGTCACTCTTCTTGTCTCCAACATAGTACGGCACCCTCATACACGGACCGAAAAAGCGATTCAATTGACAGAACTACCCATGTGCAAGCTTTTGGCTTTTTGGACAAGGTTTTAGGGTGCTGGCGGCGCGTATTCTGCCCTCAGCTGACCGGTGATACACCTATGTAGCATACAGGTTTAGGGGTTTAGGGTTTAGGGTTTCGGGTTTCAGTAAACGGTTTAAGGTACACTGCTGAAACACTGTCTGTCATCCAAGTGCCGAGCACTGCTGCCGTAGTCGCTTCGTTGGAATCTGGCGGCACCACGTCAGAAACGGCAAGGGCACTGACGGACCACCCAGGACGAGCAGTGGTAAAGAACAGTAGTGTTTTGGTTTCAGGATTTGGGCCATAGGAGTTTAAGGGTTTAGGGGTATCGGGTTGTGAAGCGTCAAAGCGGGGCAGAAAGAACAGGAACCACAGAATAGATAGCAAACAAGGAAAACGCAAGGGAACCGGAAAGGAAACGTGATGCAAGCAACGGCCGCAAGTACAGCAGCAACAAGCTCGGAACGAGAACCCTAAACCCTAAACCCTAAGCAACGGCCAAGCTGCTCACACAGTACCAACAGAAGGCATGGACTGAAGAACTTGCGGTGAAGTCGTGTCAGAACAGAGATGCGAAACCATGGACATCATGGTGCAATGGGGTCGTCTACAACGCTTTCAATACCAGCAACAGCCCTGATAGCTCACAACAACGGGAACACGAAGCCCTGCAGAACAGCAGCGAGATGAAGCCCAGCATCTCCATCACTGCTGAAAGCAAAAATACGTAGGCAGAGTCTGCAGGATGATGTCAACGACTGCCATGCGAAGAATCTCGGACTAGCAACATTCCGTTAGGTTTAGGTTTAGGGTTTAGGGTTGAGGGTTTAGGGTTAAGGGTTTAGGGCGACAAAACGACCGAAGCTAATACCAGCCAGAGCACGGCAACGACGCCTTCGACGTTTTCAAAGACCTGAGGGGAGGTCGAGGGTCTTCTATCATATGATATTTAGATGCTATCACAGCAAATATATACTAATCTTATAGTACTATTCTAACATAATACTCATAGAGTAAACTTACAGTAATCCTATAGCAAGAACCCTCTGTGACCACTCTGAGCCTTTGAAGCTCAAGAGCCCCAAAGCCTCGACTGTAGACAGACGAGAACGGTACAAAGAGCGTAATATACTGGGTTCTTGTTAAGGGATTGAATTTCAGTTACCACAAACAACAGGGATCTTTTGTGACTAACGTGGCTTCTTTATCATGGTAACTTGAATTACATCCCTTCACAAGAACCCAGCATAGCTGAGAGCCCGAAGGAACCAACCTAGCAACGGCACCGTTCCCGTCATGTGCCTGCAGGGGGTCTTCTGGCTTTGGGAGTTTAAGGCGTACAGGAGTTTAAAGTTGTAATGGTTTGGTGCTCTACTACACTGTACTGATATTACATGTATATATATATATATACACATAATCTGTACTATACATAAGGGTACACGATTCCTAACTATTCTTACCTCTATGTTGGGGCTGTGGTTTAGGTCAGTTTTCGGTTGCAGAAGCTCCGGTTTCGGGTTTCACAAATGAGGTCGACGGAGAAACTCCTCAAACCGGGCGACATGGGTTCGGGGTTCTATGGTCGAATCAGATGTCGCCGAAGTCCGACGTGCTCACAAAGTCTCTCACTACAGAACGGCACTAGACTCTAACACCCAAACTCCCACTACAAAAAACTCCGGGCACGGGAACTGTGCCCCGAATATCTGTAACCTGGACTGGACCCGTATAGCACTCACGAAGCATAAAGGCCTAATTAGCATGAATACCACGAGGAATACTTTGAAGGAGGTTAGAAAGTATGGAAGCTCGTGAGCTCAAAGCAAAGCACAAACGCCACGGAACGCACAAAAAAATCCGAACTGCGGAAAAAATCCAGCTGAGTCTCTACAGCACTGAATGCACCAGGCCATCCCGTAGCCCAATGCCCCGGACTCAAACAGAAGCTTGCAGTAACTTCTGAATATCCCCTGAACTACTTAGAACGGATCTATGGCACAGAGTCCTAAACCCTAAACCCCAAACCCTGAAACCCTAAACCCTAAACGCCAAACCCTGAAACCCTAAACCCTAGACTAGACGTTAAACCCTGAAACCCTAAACCCTGAACCCTAAACCCGAAACCCTAAACCCTAAACCCCTAAACCCCAAACCCGCAAAGGTGACCCTGTGGCGATAGTCTCTGCGCAGACTGGGGCCCAAGCCGGGATGGAGCGCCTGGGAGACGGGGTTTAGGGTTAAGGGGTTCAGGGTTTAGGGGTGTAGGGATTTAGGGTTTAGGGGCTTAGGGGTTTAGGGATTTAGGGTTTAGGGGTTTAGGGGTTAAGGGATTTAGGGGTTTAGGGGTTAAGGGATTTAGGGTTTAGGGGTTAAGGGATTTAGGGTTTAGGGGTGTAGGGTTTAGGGATTAGGGGTTTAGGGTTTCGGGTTTAGGGTTTGGGGTTTGGGGTATAGGGTTTGCGGGTTTAGGGTTAACGGGATTTATCTATTTCATTTAAGTTACCATGACAGAGATCTATATTTAATAATATGGGGTTCTGTTTAAGGGAGTTATACACTTTAAGGTAGCATAACAGGGATCTATATTTAATAATATGTTTTCTGCATTATGTTAAGTGAGATCAAATCCGTTGTTTAACTTAAGTTACCAGAACAGGGATCAAGAGTAAATATGCCCTTAATCCAAAAACCTAAAACCTAAACCCTAAACCCTAAAACAACAGTATGGCTTCTTTAGTATTATTATTGTTGTTACTATTATCGTCATTACTACTATGATTATGGTAGCTCAAACCCTAAACCCTAAACCATAAGCCCTATACCCTAAACCCTAAAGTTAAACCCTGCAACAAGAACCCAGGAGACGGTAGGAGTTCGGGGAAGAACGGGACCCCTGCATTCATGGCCGCACCCGGCGCTTCTTAAGACAGTATGAGGGATACTGAGAAAACCCTAAACTCCTAAATGCCTAGGGCTACGCCGGTCTGTGGTTCTTCCTGGAACGCCTTCAAGTGAAAAATCCTACACTGCTCCACATCAACAGAGCAACCTGAATGCTAAGTAGGCGAGGGAGTGAAATGCGTCTATCATGTCGTCGCAGGTTTGGAAGCCTTGCACAACCTCGAAGAACAACTGGGCGGCTGATAAAGCGCAACAGGTGAACAATGCAGAAAGATTGTGGTGGCTGGGTGGCCACATGCTGTACCGAAACCCCACGACCTTCGCAGGTGTAGGTTGGGTCAACATCACACAGCTTGTTTTGTTTCGGGCTGCTGCCGAACCCAAAAACAATCACGTCTTCTGTGCGAAATGCGGGTTTTCAATTCCGCCATGCTCTCCGATGGTAAAGCAGCACGGTAGAATGGTCTTATCAAACCTTTGTTTGCTCCGGGCTGCATACGTGTTTCGCTTCCCGATCAAAAATGTTCAGGTTAATTCCATACAGGGTCACCGGCCAGAGTGCTGCCAAAAGGCACCAGAGAGCACTTTTCCTCCAGGTTCCAAACGTTGACGACCTGGCAATAGCACTCCCGACGGGCACTCCCCTCAACCCCTAAACCCTAAACCTTAAACCAACCTCAAACCCTCAACCCTAGACCTGAACCCCTAAACCCCAAACCAACCTCAAACCCTCAACCCTAGACCTGAACCCCTAAACCCTAAACCAACCTCAAACCCTCAACCCTAGACCTGAACCCCTAAACCCCAAACCAACCTCAAACCCTCAACCCTAGACCTGAACCCCTAAACCCCAAACCAACCTCAAACCCCCAACCCTAGACCTTAACCCCTAAACCCCAAGCCCCAAACTCTACACGGCGAGCACCCCACGACTCCCTCGACCCGAAAAGATGCTGGATCCCGAAACTTCGAAAGCCCCAAAACCCCGAAACGCAGGGCCGCTCATCTATTGCTTTGTCACCCAGTCGGTGTCCCAACCGTGCTTGAGTAAGTATAGGGGCGCTGACTGCACAGCCTGCAGCCCCCTTTCTGCTGGTTTTGGGAAGTGAAACCCCAACAATGGCCCACGGTCCTAAATACACACCCGTATACCCCAAGCCCTAAACCCCAAACCCTGTAATCCCAAATCCCAACACTCATGCTGGGCCAAGAAACCCTAGCCAAGACCGGGCCTAACAAACGTACATGGCTTGGCGTTTTGGGAAAAAGGGCTTACTGTAGAAGCCAAAATAATTACAAGAAGGTTTTGGGGCCCAATATACTATAAGTATACTAAGGACCCTAGGGAATAATGTAGGTCATTATTTGGGTAGTTCTCTAAAATAGAGTCCCTGTTTAGGTCCCCGATATAGTACGGCACCCTTATAAAAAGGACACCAAAAAAAACCCTAATTTAGAGAACTACCCATTTAGGCTCCTCTATTAGGGTCCTTCAGAGCTCTGGTCTTTTCGCGCTTCCAGAGGTTCGAGCCTAGCATACGGAGCTTAAGGTTTTTGGGCGCTGCGGGTCTAATGTTGGGGCCTTCATAATTAGAATAGGGTTGTCGGGGGGCTCCTTATTGTAAATATAGGACAGTATACCCCAAACCCTATTCTAATTATTAAGGCCCCTATATTAGAAGAAAGCGTTGGGGCACCAGGGTTTTGGACTTTAGGGCTATGGCTCTGGAATTGTGTGCCGTGGGCTTCGGGATAACATTCCCCAAATCCAGTAAATCGAAATCCTAAACCCAAAGCTCAAACGCCCAAACCCCTACCACATACACTAAACACCTGCAACCCACACCCTGGAAACAAAAACACACAAACCTGGACACAACACCAAAAAAAAACACCAACAAAACCCTAAATCCTGAACCCTAAACCCTAAAACCTAAACCCTAAATCCTAAAACCCTAAACCCCTAACTGAAGAAACCCGAAGCACCCAAAAACTCCCCGAGAAAGGCCTCTAAACCCTAAACCTTAAACCCTTAACCCCTAACCCCTAAACCCCTAAACCCTAAACCCTAAACCCTAAACCCTAAACCCTAAACCCCGAGCCGAAGAGTCAGACAAAGGCCTGGTCACGGCCGCCGGTGACGAGCTGGTAGAGCTTAGACCTGACAGGGCCTGGAGACCAGGGAAGCCGTGGACTTTGGGGTTTGGGGTTTAGGGTTTAGGGTTTATTAGGGTTTAGGGTTTAGGGTTTAGGGTTTAGGGTTTTTTTGCTTAACACCCCTTTTCCACACTCGCCACAGAGCGGGCACCCCGGCCAAGCGTGGCTTGTGGGGTTTAGGGCTTGGGTTTAGGGGCTGGAAGGCCTTACTTTGGGATGCCCTGGCTCAGGGCTCGATTGGGGGTCATCGCAGAAGGGTGGCGGCAGAAGCGGAAGCCCGGATAACGCGCGGGAAAGCCCCTGTTGTAACCGTGTTCACACATCGGAAAAACTTCAGACAAACTGCATGCACTCAGACAACAGAAGCTGTGGAGATGAAGGTGATGAAGATGATGGCTGACAAGATGGAGGTAATGATGATGCTGATGGTGATGATGATAGCAAAGATGGTGAGGAGGATGGTGAGAGAAAACACGGATGAGCAGCAAGAAGTACGTCATCGCATTGGCCGCTGTGATGAAGATGAAGGCGACGCTGATGATGATGAGGAGGAGGACGACGACGACGACTGGCATGCATGATCTTCTTCGTCATCACCACATTTTGTCGTCATCTAGATTTTAGCAATAAAGAGGGGAAGGATGAAAAAAAACAGAAGCCAACTGTCGCTGCAGCATCAGCAGCAGCAGTACTGGAGGTGGCAGTAGAAGAATAGTCGTTTTGCCGTCGACTCTACCAAGCTCCTCCAACTCTAAACCCCAAACCCTAGACCCTGACAACTCGAACCGGTCGCACCGAAGCACATCGAAGAGATGCTGGAGAGGTGATCCTGGGTTGTGCCCGCTGTTCTAGGGCTTGGGAAACGGGGCTAGGGCTTTCCGGCTTTGGGAACGTCACTAGGGTGAGCAGTTTGGGTGGTCTTGAGCTAACCTGGAATACCAAGCTATGCCTTCCTGAAGCACAAGACATCCCAGTGCGAAACATGCAGCCACAGGTGGTGTAGGGTTACCGCAGTACCACCCAAGAGACATTCTCGCAGCTCATTTTGGTCGTGAGATTGCGACAAAACCCATTTCTGCGTCCAAAAGAAATGGTTTGGTTGCTGCAAGAGCCACTTGAACCGAAACCCAGAAAGGCAACACAAGGTGCAACTATCGGCCCCGAGCTGACACGATGATCAACACCCCCGAGCTTCTAGCAGCGATCCATGTCTCACATTCTAGAACCTATACTGTAGGGGCCTTAATACTTAGAATAGGGTTTTGGGGGCTCCTGATTATAATTGAAATACAACATACTCCAAACCCTATTCTAATTATTAAAGCTCCTATATTACCTGTCAGTAGCTGTAAGAGCTCTTATGACTGCTAGCCTCGCGGTCTGCCACTACGTAAGTATTACTCTGCTACATGTTCTTCTTATGAGCAGCTATCACTTTTGTTGCTGTTGTCATGATCCATCTTGCTTCTACAAACCCTAAACCCTATATAAACCCTGAACCTAAACCCTACACGCTAAACCCGAAACCGTAATACCTCAACCCTAAACCCGAAACCGTAAAACCCAAACCCTAAACCCTAAACCGTTCCTGCGTTCGCAGCAGGGAGAACGGTCCTTGAGGACAGCGACGCAGACCGAGGACTCCAAGTCCCACAGCCGCACCTCAGGGTTTAGGGTTTAGGGTTTAGGGTTTAGGGTTTAGGGTTTAGGGTTTAGGGATCATAATGACAATAGTCGTAATGCTCCAGCAAAGACCCTAAACAGAATGCACCGAATCATGCGGGTTCAAGTTGGAACGTGTTGGAATCCGTGCAGATTTACTGCACATGAAAGAAGCAGCCAGCCATGCCACAACGTGGATCGTGCCCTCTCTGCGACAAGCTTTCATCCGACTCACGTGCCGCCAAGCGAAGCTAAAAGCCCCATCGCTCATCCAATCGTTTCTCATACCCATCGGAACCCAGTGTGCCCCAGCCCCTTTGCCGACACAGGAACGCGGCAACAGCAAGAAACCCATAGCAGAAAGCCACCAAGGGAACATCACGAGAGCCCAGCCCCTTTGCTGCGGCCCGCCCATCCGATCCAGGAGCCCAGACAGGTAACATGAAGGGAGCCCACAAATGAAACATTCCGACCCAGGAGCCCAGAAAGGGAACAACGGGAACATGGAGGGAGCCCAATGGGAGCCCAGCCCCTTGGCCGCGGCCAACCCCATCCGACCCAGGAATCAGGAACACAGACGGCCGTCGCCGGCCCACCCCAGGAGCCCAGAAAGGAAACATCAATGCAAGCCCAGCCCTGTCGCTGCGGCCCACCCATCCGCAGACAGGAAACATGAAGCAAGCCCAAAAGGAAACATGAAGGGAGCCCAGCCCAATGATGAAGGGAGCCCAATCCGAAAACGAAATCTGACCGTGCAATCTCTATGCCCTATTAGTACACATTAATCTTGCATGCCAGTGGAGACCCTACCAAACACCTGGACGGGTCGGGCAGTAGCAACCAGTCCGGCCAGACAGCCCAAACACTTGCTCTCTTCAAGAACCCTGATCGCAGCCTGTTGCCGTCCACCTAATGGACAACCCCTCTAACACGCTGGTCGATAATTTGAGATGCGCAAAGCTGTTGACTGGCTTCCGTGGGGCGGCATTGATGCATAGCGACCACCCTACATCCAAAAAAGCCAAGGACACAGTCCAGCTGAACCTTCAACCTGAACCAAGGAAGGCTTGAACACCAAAACCCTGCCAGAATCCAGAACCCTCAACTCTCCCCCCCCGCCGCAACTCTCGATCTGAAACCCTAAACCCTCAAACCTCCCAAGGCCCAACAAAAATCATTAACCCGCTGAAGCCCAAAGCACTGCCTCCGTGTTAGCCACTGTGACGAGCTGCAGCCGGGCAGGATGGAAGCGCCTCAGTGAGTAGGAACAGCCTTTGCATGGCTTAGGGCTTCGAGGGTTTAGGGTTTCGGGTTTCGGGTTTAGGGTTTCGGGTCTCAGGTTTTGGGTTTTGGGTTTCGGGTTCAGGGCCTGGAGATTTAGGGATGCAGCTGCATGCTTGGTAAGGCTTGCTGAAGCAGCCATGAACCTCCCTGGGCTTCTTTTCGAAACATGCTTACAGAGCGCCCTAGGCCGAGAACCAGGCTTTCGATCATTCCAATACCGCGCCGCTGTCTTGCTACTTTTTCTGCAGAATTGTAGAACCACTAGAGCCGGCTTTATAGGGCTGTACAGTTTTACACACATTGGGATGGTCTTGTGGAGCGTTTGGGGTTTCGAGCCGTAAGGTGCGGGCCCGAGGGTTCAAGGGTCGAAGGTTAAGGCCTTCAGACAGGCACAGACACCTGTGGAGGCCTAGGTTGGGGCTCGAATATCGATGTTGTTATGACTATCAATACTTTTAACCTTATAGATATTATTGCTATTATTACGATTATCAATATCACTATCATTGTTATCATATTTCATTATCATTATTACTTTCATTGTTGCTAGGCTAAACTGCACGACAGGCCAACCCCGAACTCAGGCGCCGGCACCAGCGTCACGATGCCCGCATGGCCCTTGAAGTTGTGGGTGCAGAAATACCCCTGAAAGTCCCACACCTGGGTTTAGGGGTTTAGGGGTTTAGGGTTTAGGGTTTAGGGTTTAGGGTTTAGGGTTTAGGGTTTAGGGTTTAGGGTTTAGGGTGGCAGGCAAGAGAGGTTGTTCCCAGATCGAAAAAGGCGCGACAAGGTCTGCAAGGGTCTCATTGTACAAGGCTTTTTGAAGGGTTTTTCGGGCTCATTAACTCTTGGCTTCAAGGTTTCGGATTCAGGGATTTAGCGCGTAAGGTCCTCGGTTTGCGGTTCAAGGTTTGGCAATAACGCGTAGGATTTCAGTATTTGTAGGATGTAAGTCTTCGAAGGATTGGGCGCTTGGCTCGCCAGCTTTTGGGTTTGGGTGTAGGTGTTTTTTTGTTTAAGTGTGTTGAGCTTTGACTCCATGGCCATAGGGTCTAGGGTTCAGGGTTGAGGGTTCAGGGTTTAGGGGTTAGTTGAAGGCTTGGGGTTCACCTCTCACCGCTACAATAATCACCCCTCCTTCTCGTGTGCGCATGATTAGTACGGCTATTCCCTTACAACTAAACCCCAAACTCTAACCTCTCAGCCCTCAACTCTGAACACTACACCCTTGATCCTACCTCTCGTCCCATAGGCCCTCACCCACAAACTCTCAACTTGAAACCACCCCGAATCGTTGGCCCTCGTGAGAACGCGATTGCCCCAAGTTCTCGACACTCGTTCCCCCCTCTCGACTGGGGTTTGGAGTTCAGCATTTCAGGTTTAGGGCCTTCGGGTTTAGGTTTTCGAGGGTTCAGGATTTGGAGTTCAGAGTTTCAGGTTTAGAGGTTGGGGGGTTTGGCTTGGGGTTCAGGGTCTAAGCTCCGCCTGCCCCGTGGCACCCCGAACCCGCAACTCAGCACGTGCGTTGAAGGCCGGGCACTTAGGAAGTCGAGATATGAAGAGGGTTGAATACTGCACAGCACAACCCCCTAAACCCTAAACCCTAAACCCTAAACCCTAAACCCTAAACCCTAAACCCTAAACCCTAAACCCTAAACCCTAAACCCTAAACCCTAAACTAAACCCCAACCGGGCCCCTGCCAAGCCGAGCACCCTCAAAAAATTCTGAGGACCCCCAAACTCTGCAGGACAAGCAAAAAAAGCTCACCAGCGATAGCTCCCGAGATCCTGGGGGCTTAGGGCTTAGGGTTTAGGGTTTAGGGTTTAGGGTTTAGGGTTTAGGGTTTAGGGTTTGGGGTTTAGGGTTTAGGGTTTAGGGTTTAGGGTTTAGGGTTCAAGTAGCAAAGGCAAACAAAAGCCCTCTGAAGCTTAAGCCTCCATCAGAGATCATGGGCAGGATCGACAGTCCCACACCCCAATGGCAAAAAGAGGGTTTCAACCCTCAAATGCAACAAGCTCCAGATCAACACATGCATCTCCATAAATCAAGCCAAAAATGTAGTTACATAACAACCACTAAACCCTGAACCTCTGAACCCTAACCCCTAAACCCTAAACCCCAAACCGTCAACCCCTAAAACCCCAAACCCCTAAACCTCCAAACCCTAAACCCCTAAACCCAAAACCCTCAACCCCCCTACACCCAAAACCCCTCAACCCCTAAGCCTCCTAAACCCAAAACCCCTAAGCCCCCCAAAAAAGGAGCAGAAACGCCGAGGCCGCCCCGGCCTTGGCTGTCTGGTCCACGGAGCCGGTCGCCACGAGGGCCCCGGTGGTGTCGAAGCAAACGTCCGCCACCACCTTCGGCGGTTTCGGCTTCAGGGTTTAGGGTTTAGGGTTTAGGGCTTAAGGGTCTAGGGTTTAGGGCTTAAGGGTTTAGGGCTTAGGGTTTGGGATTTAGGGTCAGGGGTTGAGGGTTTAGGGTTTAGGGTTCAGGGTTTAGGGCTTAGGGCTTCTTCGGATTTGAGGCTCCGGGAGCCTAAACCCTAAAGCCTAAACCATATAGAGTTCGTAAGGCTTCGGATTTGAGGCTCAGGGTGCTAGGGTGTTTGGTCCAGGGTCTGGTATAGGGTTTAGGGTTTAGGGTCTAGGGTTTTAGGGTTTAGGGTTTAGGGTTTAGGGTTTAGGGTTTGGGTTTTTTCAAGGGTTTAGGTTTTTTTGATTTGTTGGTTCTTCTTCAGCTATGTCTGGCTGTTATGGCTTTCGCTATGTGTTCAATGTGTCTGTGGTCACAGATTCAGTGTTGGGGTTTAGGGTTTCAGGTTCTTGGCAAGGCAGTATCGATGTCGCGCCACACCCTAAACCCTCGAAAGCACCTAAGAATCTTCATCACCAAGCCCCAAAACACCCTGAACACAGCCCTCTAAGGTTCAGAACCCCCACTATACCCTAAACCTAACTATACCCTAAACCTAAACCCTAAACCCAAAAACCCAAACTCTCAAAACCACGAAATCTCGCGTCTCCCAAGCCTGGTCGTGGCCCCGCCAGGATCTGACCAAGTCCACTTTTTCACCTTGCCGGTCATGGTTCCTAGTGCTGTTATTTTATGATAATATAGAAGATCAAAGTAATTTTTTTAAGATTAATCATACCTTCGAATGCAGGGATAATGACTTCTTAATATTACGACTATTCGTTGCTATTTTTCTTAGTCTTGATATTTCAAGCCATGTCCAGGTGTAGGATGCAAGCAGCGATGCGCTCTGGGAATGAAGATAGTATCTCAAGAGCTCCGTCCGAGGTTTTCGGATTGCGCGCATCTCGGTTGCGGCTGAGGATTTAGGGTTTAGGGTTTAGGGGTTCAGGGGTTTATGGTTTAGGGGTTCAGGGGTTGAGGGGTTGAGGGGTTTAGGGTTTAGGGGTTCAGGGGTTGAGGGGCTTAGGGTTTACGGTTTAGGGTCCGACGTCCACGACTCCGCCGAAGGCTCTGCGATGCTGGGCTCCCGAACCCAGGGAGAAGTGCCGAAGCAGACCGCTCCTGCAAACATATAATGTAGATATATAGCATAATAAATATACAATGTGAACATCATATAATATTCTGTTTTAAAGAAAGAAGCAGACAGACCTCAAACGAAACCCTGCACCCCTATCAAATCTCCCTCAAGCCCTGGGACCCATTTTCAGCCCTTAAAAATCATGCTTTCCTTATTCATGGACGCCCTCAAACAGTACCCTCTCCAACCATGTTCACATCCTCAGTTTAAGAACTCAAACCTAAACCCTAAGCCTTAAACCCTCAACCCTAAACCCTGAACCCCTCAACCCTAAGCCCTAAGCCCTGAACCCTACACCCTAAACCTGAACTCCGAAGTCTGGCCCAAAAGCTCTTCCGAAGCCCGAGGTCCAACGGCCCCGAGCCCATGAACTCCTGGGCCTTAGGGGTTTGGGAACCTTGAACCCTTGTTTAGGGCTTCGGGTTCAGGGTTTAGGGTTTAGGGTTTAGGGCTTAGGGTTTAGGGCTTCGGGCTTGGGGCTTAGGGTTGAGTGTTTAAGGCTTAGGGTTTAGGGTTTAGAGTTTAGAGTTTAGGGCTGCATCCATGACAGCTTGCGCTCCTGTGGCTCGTGCAGGCATGCAAGCCCAGCCGATCGATAGCGAAGGTAAGCACTCCATCGCCTTCTTGTGAGACCACCCGCGTGGGCGCCTGGCGCGATAGCATTGCTACTGATGCTGCTCATGCTGCTGCTGTTAAACGCAGGGGCCTTAATAAATAGACTAGGGTTTGGGGGGGTTCCTTCTTATGATGATAGCATAACATACCCCCCAACCCTATTCTAAATATTAAGGCCCCTAAACCCTAAACCCTTGTAGTAGCCCTTATAGAGCCCTTTAAAGGAACCCTTTAAAGGAACCCTATTCTATATTCTTCTTCTTCGTCTTTCCTATTGTTAGGCTTCCGTCTCCAGAGGCGCCTGGCAGGCGGCGTCCACCAGGTGCAACTCCTCGGAGCAGAGGCCTGGCACAGATGGCTTAGGGCCTAAACCCTAAACCCTAAACCCTGAACCCTAAACCCTCAACCCTAAAGCCAGTTTAGGATGGAGGGTTTAAGCTCACCTGGTTTGAGCAAAAAAGGGCTATGAGGAGTACTCGGAGCTCCACCAGTAGAGCTACAATCGAAACACATCGAAATGCCCATCGTTTCTTCCTCCGGCTTGGGTTCAGAATCCAGCGTCATTTCTGAGCTCCTCGCTGTTTATGACCTTTCTTTAGGGTTTAGGGTTTAGGTTTAGGTGATGTGGTTGAGGGCTAGCGGGGTTCAGGCATCAGTTCTGCGCCTCGGCCTGGCTGTGGCGGCGAAGGATCGCACGCTGCACGACATTGCACGACCAACCCTTCTCATGGCCTGAAACCCGGAAGTGAAGGCTTGCACCGCCGGGAAAGTCCCGCAAGCTCTTGGGACGGGAGGACCCGAGAGTCTTCGAATATAACCTGGACATTAGTAGCAGAGCAGGTTAGCACATAACATATATTCATGCTCTTGTATAACCACCCCATTCCCCCGGCAAGAGCATGCCGGCGAAGCAGCCGAGGATGTTGGAGGACTCGCAGAAGCCGATCTGAAAGAGTCCAACTTCCAAAAGCTCTCACTGCAAAGAAACCCCTAGGCAGTGCATGGTCAGAAGCACAGTGGTCACTGTCTACCGTCTCCTGCTCGCTCTACTACGAAATGCATCTGCAAACGGACCATCTAAACCCTAAGCCTAAACCCTAAACCCTAAACCCTAACCCCCAAACCCTAAACCTCGTCATCTGCATGCACCTTGCCGCCGGTGTAGCAGCCCACGTGCTTGCCGCTGACTGCCCAGGCCTTCCGACGGGCAGGCCGACGGTTTATGGGGTTTAGGGTTCTAGGGTTTAGGGTTTAGGGTTTAGGGTTTAGGGTTTAGGGCTCTAGGGTTCTAGGGTTTAGGGTTTAGGGTTCTAGGGTTCTAGGGTTTAGGGTTTAGGGTTTATGAAGTGGGTGCAAAGTTTGCTTTGGACCAAGCTCGGACAATCAAAGCCTGCAAGCAGCTAACAGAAGTAGTATCATGATTAATCTTACTACTACTATTACTCTTGTGATCACTAGTGGTCCTTAGTTTTGTCTAGTTATAACTATGAGAACGACGACTGCTATTTTTGGTATTGCTATTACTACTGTTATCGATATCGAAAGTTTTTGTTGCTATTGGAGCTATTATGATTGTTTCGATTTGTATGGTTATTATGATTATCATTCCGATCATTATTATGCGTCATTATTATTACAATTTATTCCATTATTACAATTGTAGCTCGAGCTGCGGCTTGCCTCACTGAGGGTCGGTGAAGGCACTGTTGTCATCAAGTCCGCCACATGGCAAAAGATCCGCAGCCAGCGGCTGGTTCCGGATTCGACACTTTGCGGAGCTAGTTTGGGCAGTGAGAGATCGGAGTCCTCTCGGCTATGTCCATGACAAAAACAAATCCGCATGCATGCCAGTGTTCCTCCGAGGCTATTACACAAAGGTTACAACTTGCCGACACCGTTGGAAATCGACTGCCACCTGAAACTACCTTCAAACTAAGTTCAAGCCGAAAAGAGTCCTTGGCGCAACATTACGAGAACGCTCACGTGACTGTCATGAAGAGGCAGCGGCATTCGGACACTTTCTCTCTTTTCTTCGATCGGATCGGGGCAGCACCGAGGCACACCGAGGCCAAAGACCGACTGCTGGCTGCGTCCGAACAGCCGTCCTGCCAGCGTATTGCGATGGCTACTATTGCCGCAGCAACTACTACTGCAACTGCTGCTGCAACTTGCTGCTGCTGGCACTGCTGCTGCATGCTGCTACTGCAACATTACTGCTGCTGGTGATGCTGTCACTGCTACTACGGAATCCTCCTCCTACTACTGCGACTACTGCTGCTGCTCCTGCCAAGACGCCACTGCCCTTAGGGGAATAGTCTGCCCGGGATCTTCCTGAGTTGACGTCGAGAAGCTGTATTGACGAGATTCCGTGCCGGTTGTACGATCCTCCCTATGAAATCTCGCAAACACGTTGAAACTTCCTGGCCTCGTCGAAGCGAACCTGTGCTCCCTCTCCAAGACCGTGCACCCCCTTGAACTTCTCTCTGCTTGCCCAGCTAGCAACGAGAAATTAGCGCCTGGCCGCACCCAAAACGCCCACTCGCCACCCATCACAAAAGAGCTAGAGAGAGGGCTCGGGCTTGGGCAAGTGAGTGTGGCTCCAAAATAGCAGACTTCAGAAGCTGAAGTTTGCGGAAAATCTGCATAGACTCAAACTCTAGACAATGGTAACAAGAAGGTTGCAGAGAATCCGACCTTGCAACAACCCCAGACCCTCCAGCAAAGCACTGCCTCCGAATCCAAAAACACAGCATGACTGCCCTTCCAAACTTCAAACATACACTATTCTGCTCACCTCCAGTCAGCCAAACGCAAAAACACAACCCTCAACCCACCAAACCCAAACAACCCACCAACCCCAAACAACCTTAAACATTAAACCCCAAAAGGGCAAATCGCCCTCCGACCTCAGGGCAGCGTCACAGCTCGGTGCGCCGCTTCTGCTCGGCCTGGACTAAGAAATCCACGGTTTCCACCAGCTCCCGGCCGAGTGACTTGGTCTCTTCCATGAGCTCCTTCGGGGGCAGATCATAACAAAAATAACAATACTTGTAGTGATACTTTACAATGATAATAGTAAGTATATAATAATAATCATCATCATCATAATAATAACTGTATTTGTAGGTGATATTGTACAAGAAAAGTAGCAAGTAGCGATCATAACAACGACAATAATACCAAGTAGGGTAGTAGTAAGTAAAGATCATGGTCGTGGTAATATACTCACGGCTTTCGGATGCCTTAGGGTCGCCCAGGCTTTTCTGGGTTTCGCGGCTCCAGCTTCAGAATTTTGAGGCTTTAGAGCTTCGAGACGTGCGGGCCCAGTTCAAGCCGATCCTCGAAACTTTCAGGCCTTGCATAGGGATCTCAAGCTCAAGGATCCCCGTAGGGTTTCGGGTTTAGGGTTTAGGAGTTTAGGGTTGAGGGTTTAGGAGTTTAGGGTTTAGGGTTTAGGAGTTTAGGGTTTAAGGTTTAGGGTCTAGAAGGTTTAGGGTTTTAGGAGTTTAGGGCTTAGGGTTTAGGGACTGCTAAGAGTTCTAGGCTTGAGCGATTTGGTTGAAAGGGCGTGGGGATCTGTTTCTTGAGGTCCTGGGTCTTGCTGGCAAGGCCGAGGGAGTTGTAAGCCATGAGCAAGTGCAGCCGGGTCTTCCCACAGAGAGGGTTGGCCTTGAGGCCTTTCTCGCAATACTTCACCATCTGGGCTGCGGAGTCCGAGTCGGGCCCTTGGTGTATCTGAGCCAGGGTCAGCCACAAGTCCGAGTTCGTGGGATCGAGCTTGGCGGCCTTCTTCGCCAGCTTCACCGCCTGCTTCCGCTGCTTCTCCCGGCTGGCCTGCACGGCGGCGTGTCGGTGGAAGACGGCCGACCAAGGCAGGGCGCGGCGCGCTTGCTGCACCACGGCCACGGAATAGCCGAGGCTGGCCGTGGCGTGCTGGAATCCTTCTGGGACGTAGAGCAGGTCGCCGGGCTCCGAAACGCATTCCCACTGCGGTGGAACGAAGCCTCTGCCTCTCCTGCAGGGCTACGCGCTCAAACGGCGAACGGCTTTCAGACACGACGCTCCATCCGTCGTTTCTGTTGCACGGAACCCGTTCCATGTCAAAAGATGGACCCCGGACCATGCTGTTGAGCCTGAACTTGCTCAAGCCTACCTGCAGTGCATCTACACTGTCCGATGAACTCCACGGCTACTGTTCTCTCCTTCTGAATCTCAGCCAGGCCGTATAATCTTCGGAATGGAGGACGCCTGTTCTTGTCATCTTCCCTGGCGCATAGATTCCCCATCGCTTCCGCCCCTGCAGCTGCAAGTGGTAGGAGTCCTGGGGGCGTACAGCAAGGAGGAGGCATCATTGGCAGACGTTTGAACGCCGTGAGCCGTGAATTTTAGGTTGTTGGCGAGGGCTGATGTCTGTTTGCACGAATTGGAGGCTCAAGGCTTGGGGTCATGGCCAACCCAAAGCAAGGCTCTTCGTGGCTGTGGAAAGGCATTCCCTGACCTGTGCTGCCCAACGCCAGTCGAAGGGGCACAGAGGAGGTGTCGTAAGTTCCTAGCTGCTCCAGGACAGGAGGAAGGCTCCAGTTGGCAGACAAACCGCTTTGCTCCATGAACCTTGGCTGTTCTATTTAGAGTTTAGGGTTTAGCGCCCCTTGCCAGTCCGTCAGAGTTGTGTAACTAGGCAGTTGCATGCAGCAGAAGAAAGTCGAGATGGTCTTGAGGCCATCCTTCCTGCAAAGAACAATACTATACGCAAGCAGGAGGCTCGCCAAAGTCGAACAAGTAGTTGTCATTGGGCATGCTCCGAACGAAATCTTCCAGCGGAAGACTTTCTTCGGCCTGCCCCTGCACATGGAAGAAGAAGCCACGGCCGACGCGCACCTGCAGCCACAAGCTCCCACAGACCCGAAGCCCTGGCCTCTAAACTCGCAGGGCCCCCAACCTCTGCAGCCCGAAAACCCTTGAAGCCCTGAATCTCAACACCCCGCAGCCCATGCTCACCGGCACGCTTAAATCGGGTAAGCTAGGGGCATTAAAAGTCAGAATAGGGTTTTGTGGTATTTTACATCATAAGTACAACAAGGAACCCTCAAAATAAGTATAGGTAAACATTAAGGCCCCTAAATTATGCCTGCTACAACAATGCTCCGCTTGATGATATAAACCTTGGTACGAAGAAATATACCACAATTCCCATGAGTTAGGGCCCTTAGGGTAATGCAGGCTTTACATCATCAACAGTAGTAGTAGTAGTAGTAGTAGTAGTAGTAGTAGTAGTAGTACTAGTAGTCGTGGTGGTGGTAGTAGTAGTAGTAACAGTAGTAAAAATAGTACTAGTAGTAGTAGTAGTAGTAGTAGTAGTAGTAGTAGTAATAGTAGTTGTAGTAGTAGTAGTACTAGTAGTGGTAGTGGTGGT